ACACGTTGAACTTTAATGGTCACGTCTTCCCACTAGAACTCGGAGAAGATTCCCACACGAAGCAAGTCACTAGTGAGCACAGGTAATTCGCATTCGAATCCTGCGGGGTGCAATAGTCGTGGATGCGCACTGCTGATGAGTCCCGTACCAGGGCAAAAGGGCCGTCCAGTGCTTCCAGGTTTCTAATAGTGGTCTAACATTGATCGATTCATGGTTTCAAAAGATTATTCAGATTGTTGTAAAGAATTTTTTTCTTTTAAAAATACTGAAACCGATCAGTGTTACACCACCATTAGAAACCGGGAGGCACAGATTGGCCGTTTCATCTTAGTGTATCGGGCTCATCAACACTGTGCACATGAGCGATCTCCATACACTGGACTCGAACTCAGAACCTGACGCGATTCATGCAAATCAACAATTTCCACAACCCTATAACAATAAGAAATACTGGTCGACTGGGAAAAAAACTAAGTACTAGTCATGTGTGTTTGTGTGTATGTGTGCTGTTGTGCATGTTCCCAACCTAATGGAAACAATCAAATTGATCCAGTCTCCAAGTCACTTTATCATGTGTATATGTATACATATATAAAAATATAATATAAACATTGATCTGCTGTCTGTCAACTAAGACGATACGTTAATTTCTTCTGATAATTGAATATAAATTAAATCTTCAATGGACAGTGTAAAATAAGATACAAATATAATCGTGGGTGGAGGTGGTGATGACGAGGTTGTAGTTCAACTTCATTTACTGATTGACTAAAGTCACCTAAAGTTTAAATGTTCACATTGACAATTGTCAGATCTGTGTTGATTTCAGTGTGTGAGTGTGTGTGTGTGTGACAGCAATCTACACACATCTGCTGTATTTACAGTCACTAGTTTGTCTATTTCACATAAATAAAATGCGACAGAGTGAACAAGTGAGTGAGTGAAAGATTTTAATAATTCTTCTATGCCAAATACACTTAAATTTTTATTTTCACATATAGAAAGAAATAAAGATCCTTGGAAAGTTTTATGAGAGATAAAATTCAACTTGGCAACAGTTTTTTTTTAGTTATCTCAAATAATAATAATAATAATTTTCAATTTCAAATTTTGTAAAAAAAATTAAGGTAGATGAATTCATTTTAATTATTTACGACTTTTTTTTTATCAATTTGATCCATTAAACTAATTGTTTTTTTCTGTAAAAAAAAATGATTATTTAGTTTTTTTATATTTAATCGGAAGAAATAAAGTTTTCGCCTGGTAAAATCGATAGATACATAGATATGTGTATGCATTACGGGGTTGTGAAGATTGTTAAGTTACACATTTTTTGAAACCATGAATCGATCAGTGTTAGACCACCATTAGGAACCTGGAAGCACTGCAAGACGACCGTTCCGTCCTGGTGTGGGACTTCTCAGCAGTGCGCACCCATGACTCCTGCACCCCGCAGGATTCGAACCCGAGACCTTCCGTATTGTGCGTGAACGCCCTAACTGTTAGACCACTGAGCCGTGAATTTGGTCAAGTTAGACATTAACACCGTTGGATACCGGTTCAGTGGTCTGTCGGTTAGGGTTTCCACGCACAATACCGAAGGTCCTGGGTTCGAATCCTGCGGGGTGCAGTAGTCGTGGATGCGCACTGCTGAGGAGTCCCACACCAGGACGAAACAGCCGTCTTGCAGTGCTTGTGGGTTTCTAATGGTGGTCTAACATTGATCGATTCATCGTTTCAAAAATGTGTGAGATAGATATGTGTATATTTATCTTTCATGATAGAGTAATGGAGATTGTTGTTGTTGTTTATTGCTGAATTTATAAATCAATGGTTGTTAGGCTACCATTAGAACTTCTGGAAGCACTAGATGGCCGTTTCGCCATGCGTAGGATTCGAACCCTGGACCTTCGGTCTTGAACGTCTAACCTGTGGACCACCTGAGCCGGTATCCAACAGTGTAGATGCTAGCAGTAGCCGTGGTGGATGCGTACTGTTACTGTTGAGTCTAATAATGATTGATTGATGATTTCAGTGTGTAAAAACACTGATCTCCATAACTCTAATCGAAAAGTTAATAGTGAATATTAGATTCTTATTGATGAGAGAATGTGAAAGTGCACAAGTTAATAAATTTTATTATTGTAAAGAACAGATTTATGTATGGATAGTTTTGTGCAATAAAGAAAGAGTTTTGCATGTGTGTTCTTTTGTATGTTAACTCTTGTAAGATAGATTCACTGTCAATGATACAATTTTTGTATAGTGGGAATTCTAATAAGAAGTCGGTGATTTCTTTTTCCAGATTTGACATGATATAGGATTAAAAGTGAAGATCACTGACATATTGTTATACTCGTCACTTGAGATGCTTGGAACTATTACAAGTTTACCTTAGTCGATAAACCAGAACGAGACAGTGAACCAGTGTCCAGGTAGGCTACTCTGATCCGTTGACCCAAAAGAACTAACGAAAAGTCTTGATATAGCGTAGAAAGTGTATTCTACAAACACACAACAAACACAATGAGCTCAAGCACACAAGTCGCGTTTATTTATACACCATGGAGACGTCCTTGGGAGAGTCACAAAAATGGAGTATTAAAATAATTCATCAACCATTCACAGCTAAGGATTTTCCGGGTGAGAAATGTGATCTCCAGGTCAACTGATCAGCCCATGAATAAAATCCAAAATTAAGACATTTATCAAGCGAGTTCTAGGGATCTAACATCGCAAACACATATGTACACATGAGTAGTAATGCACGGTGGAATAAAGGGAGATCGAAAAATTCAACTGTTTCTAGTTATTTTCAAAAGGTGATTTAATAAATTAGATTATTAGTGAACTTATTAAGTAGACAGAGATGGTATGGCGGTTCTGATCTTATTAGATGAAGTATTCACAACAATTCTGTAGACCTTTAACGACACACCTAATAACGACCAGAATCAAGGATCCAGCCATTAGCATAGTGGAGAAAGCAATAATTAAAGTAAATTGAAAACTATCGATCGGTACAGATTGGTTGACAAAGGAGTGATGATTCAGATTTATGAATGCAACTAATCAAGACCTCCAGTTCCATAATCATCTCATGTTTAAATGGACTTGAAAATCATCAGTCTATCAAAGAAAGCAGATAAGTTTTGAAAACTACTCACTGATCGTAATAATTAAACGATTTGGTTGCAACATAAAAAAAATGATTGAATGCTTGCTGTTGAATAGGAAGTAATTTTCATGACAGAATTAATCTTGGGTGTTTAGTGTGAGTTAATACTACCTAGCATAGATTATTTTTAATTTTCCCAGAACGATAGCACATCTTATATGACTTAAATCCTCTCAAGTACTTTTGGTGACATTAGATCCTTAGAACTCAATTGATAAATGTCCTAATTTTGAATTTTGTGTTTTCGAACATGGGCTGATCAGTTTACCTTGAGTTTACATTCCCCATTTTGCTGATGTGTTATTTTAGTACACTATTTTTGTAGCTCTCCCGAGGACGTTTCTATCACTGTATAAATAAACTCTATTTGTGCGCTTGAAAAACCTCATAGTTTCTGGGTGCTTGTAGAATACACTTTCTACGTCTTGTCAAGACTTCTTCCTCTACTTAGTGGGGACTTGGGAAACTCGGATTAGAGCAGCCTATCGTGTCACTGGATCATCTGTCTACGCTCTTGTTTACCGACTAAGGTGAACTCGTAATAGCATTCAAGGATATCAACTGACAAGTCATAACAAGTAGCTTTAATGATTGCTTGTTTAAATATTTCGAAATCAGTACAGACTGTTTTCTATTTGAGTGTGTGTGTGTGCATCTTACTGGCTTATTACATATGCAGCCTATTATTTTGCCTGAATGTTGCTGCTTATACAAACTTCAGCTCATGAGAGTTGGCTCACTCGCCTTCTTTGATTCGGTTCGCTTTACTCGTACGCTTTTCACTTCTCATGTCTGTCTGCTTGAATGAACGCATGAAATCAGTTCATCCAACCGAATACGTATTTTGGCTTCTTATTACCGCCGTCGCACAACCAGAGCTCGCCTAAGTAATATGATATATACGGAAATGCAAAGGAAAATTTATTACATCATCGCATACTTAATCATTCATTCAAACTGCAGTCAAATTGTTGGCCGCCAAAACTTCATAATTGAAGTTTTACAAAATAAAGAACTATTGAATTGTATTTTTATCAATAGAAAAAAAAAGTTGTATTCGAAATATACTACTATTTACATGATGATAATAAAGAATTCAGTCAATTTAACTTTGGACAAATTTTGCGCGTAGTTTGAAAAAAATTACACTGTAAAAAAATTATTTATTTATTGTTAGATAAATGTACTTTTAATTATTAAAAAAAGGAATTTGTATATGAATTATTGATTCTAGTTTGTTAAAAAAATGATCTTAACTGGAGTTCACCTTTGTTAAAGCTTGAAATCATTGGATGATCATTTCATTCTGGCATGAGATGCGCATTGTTGAAACGTTTCAATATTTGTTAAACAACCAATATTTTGTTGAACAAGAAAACTTAATTCAGTCTATAATAATAATAATAATTATTATTATTATTATTATTGTAAAGCGTTGGAAAAAGAGGAAACGCATAATCATATCACTTTAAAAATTCTAAGTTTAACTCTAAATGTAGTAGTAGTAGCAGTAGTAATGTGGTGCTGTGGTGCGAAATACTTATAAGTAGTATATAACGTGAGTGTCAACGTAAAGTCTGGTAGCATAATATGGGGGGAAGATCAAGAAAGGAAGAGTCAGAAAACAATGGAATTTGTATGAAACGCATGAATAGTGACAGTGGATTGATGTTTGGCAACAGGAACAGTCCAGTTCCATAGGATGAACTGATCTTTTGCAAATGAACGATTTACGATATGGTTTTCCGATTTTACTGAGTAACCCTGTAATTTTCGTTAAATACAATTCGGTTGCCCCCACCTGTGTTCTCATTCACTACAGTAGTAGTAGTAGTAGTAGTAGTAGTAGTAGTAGTAGTAGTAGTAGTAGTAGTAGTAGTAGTAGTAGTAGTAGTAGTAGTAGTAGTAGTAGTAGTAGTAGTAGTAGTAGTAGTAGTAGTAGTAGTAGTAGTAGTAGTAGTGGTAGTAGTAGTAGTAGTAGTAGTAGTAGTAGTAGTGTAGTGAAGGAGAACACAAGTGGGGCAACCGGATTGTATTTAACGAAAATTACAGAGTTACTCAGTAAAATTGGAAAACCATATCGTAAATCGTTCATTTGCTAAATATCAGTTCATCATATCGAACTGGACTGTTCCTGTTGCAAAACATCAATCCATTGTCACTATTCATGCGTTTCATACAAATTGCATTGTGTTCTAACTAACCTTTCTCGATCTTCCCCCATTTTCTGTTGCCAGACATTACGTTGACACTCACGTCATATACTACTTATAAGTAGCTCGCACCACTGTAGTAGTAGTGGTCTTATATTTAGACTTAGCGAAAAAAATAAGTAAGAATTACAAAGCATTTCAATTACAACTTAATGAAATTTTGAAAAAAACAACTTGAATACATAAAGAGAAATAGAGAGAGAGAGAGAAAGAGAATAGTATGATCTTTCACAACATTGAACACTTTGAACGAGTAAAGTTAGTTGTTTAAGTGTGTGTGCTTGAGTGTGCGTAAGATGTTGAGATTGCTTTTTTTATCTCTCTCTCTCTCTCTAACTCTTTTCATCTTTGATAATTCCGACAGAAATGGTTGGGTTTTTTTTTCAAAAAATAAAAAAGTCAGTAAAATAATTATGTAAATTATTTCTATTGTTCGAGATATTTGAAAAATTGTTAAAGAATATTGTACGAATGTAGTTGTGGTAGTGGTAGTGAACTTTGATCATGTTGAGTTCTTTGCAATAAGACAATTAAGTTGGAGAGATTTTATATGACTATTTAAATAAAGCGTTATTTAGAAACTAATAATAATAATAATAATAATCAGAGTTTCACAATGAAATTGTCTGAGACATTGGAATTCAATAACATGAAGTGCAAGAATGAATATAATTTAAAATAAGGATTTCTAGAAGTGTTAGGATTCTTTAGACAAGATAATTTAGTTTTGTCAATGATTTATGATTGCTATTTTGATTACTGTAGTTAGTGACATTAGTTGTTCAATTGTGTGTGCTACATTGTATATGTCTGTGTTTGACAGTCCTATAATTTGTGTGGAGTATATAGTGATCATTTTTTAGGTGGGAATTCATTTGAAGCATTTTTAAGGGTTATAACACATTGAAACCATCAGTCGATATCATTGTTAGACCACCATTAGAAACCTGGAAGCACTGAACAGCCATTTCGTCGTGATGTGGGACTCATCAGCAGGGTTACTGTCGTTCTCAAGAAGAAAGTTTGAGATGGGCGTTAGCAACCTCATTCTGTAGGAATGAATTGTGTTATGCTGACTCTAACTAGAAAAGTTGACCCATTCTTTTTTTCCAGTAATACTCAAATCCTGCGTAATAACCCATACAATGGAGTCCAAATTCATCACAATTCAAATTACAAGTTAGAATTTTAGTGATTTTTATTGATAATCTGCATGAATTTTTCAGATCATTTTTATGATCAATTGATTTCTATTGAAAAAATCATCGAGAATCAATGTGAACTAAATTTATTTCAATGAAACTCAACAAGCTTTTTAACTCTATACGGACAATTACTAGTGAATAGCTTGGTGAGTAAATTCTTGAAGTTCTGTGGAGAAGTCATGACTAGTGGAGTTCAATCGTATCTATGTGTGAGACAGATAATCATGAAGAGAACGGATGAGGTTGCACGATAATGTGGATTGATGAAAGTTGTACATTAATGCTGCTAGATGCCATTTCTGTGGTCTAAACATTAAACGTCCGAAGGTTTTGTGTTTGATTCCACCACCTGCACAGTGGTGTACGTGGACTGTTGATGGGTCCTGTACGGGGATGAAACAGTCATCCAGCATTTCCGGGTTTTTCGATAGTGGTCTAACATTGATGAATTCATAATTTCAAGGAAATTAATTCTTACTTGAGATTTAACAACTTTGTATAAACATGAAGAGTCATCAGTTAGTGATTAGCAGCCATTTACTTTTATACTCCCAATGGTTATGATCAGTCACATTTCTTTGACATCACTTTTCATGTTTGAATACGTTTAATGCATAAATTCTGTATTAATCACCTGCTGTATTTTTAGGGGACACAGAATGCGCAGTGGGTAGATTTATTAAACATCACAATGGTTTTTCATGAGTTTTTGAATGATCACGGTAGTTTATATTACCGACTTATCCTAATCAGAATTTTAGAAGCCAGAAAACATAGAACGGCTGCTGATTTTTAATATGGGACAAGTCAACATTGTCCAACTATCACTTTACTAGGGCTCGAACCCAAGACTTTCTTAAAGCAATGTAGAGAGCACTTAAGCTGTAAACCAATTTGTCGGATCCGAATGTCTTAATATATTTCTAACTAGAACCCCCAAGTCAATCACTGTTGAATGATAATTGTCATGATGAGAATACATGAGAATTGTGAAATTTCCATGTTTTACACTAAAGACTGACCATACGAAACCATTAAAAACTTATGACATAAATGGAAAACAAAGGTGACCTAGAAGTTTGATTAAGTCACTCGGCAAAAGTATGTGTTTTAACCATCAATGGTTAGGCATTCGCGCACAATACCGAAGGTCCCGGGTTTGAATCATGCGAGGTGCAGGAGTCGTGGATGCGCACTGTTGATGAGTCCCATACCAGGACGAAACGACCTTCTTTCATTGCTTCCAGGTTTCTAATGGTGGTCTAACAACGATTGATTGATGATTTAAAATGTGTAAAAAAATACAAACCTCCAGAACTCTGCCCCAAAATATGCGTGTTAACTTTAAACCAATTATTCAGACACCAATGGTTTCAACTGAATAATGTCACATTAAATTGACAAAACTCCAATAAGATTAAACATACATCTTTGAAACCATGAATCGATCAATGTTAGACCACCATTAGAAACTTGGAAGCACTGGACGGCCGTCAAGTCCTGGTATGGGACTCATCAGCAGTGCGCATCCACGACTCCTGCACCTAGCAGGATTCGAACCCGGGACCTTCGGTATTGTGCGCGAACGCCTAACCTCTGGACCACTGAACCTATTCCACTGTTAACCAACATCAAACTTAACAGAAAATTTAGCCAGTAATTTCATTTAAAACAAATTTATTTTAATGACTTGTTAATTTGAAGAGTGTGGGATAGAACAAATCCGAATCCAGCTGAATAAGAAATCAGGAGGTGGATAGGATATACATTTAGGGAAAACATCTAACCACCTCACAAGAAAGTCCTCACCCGAAACTCCAGAGGTTAAATGAAAAAAGGAAGAACAAGGAACACACACACTACGTCGAGAAGCAGACATGGAGAAAATGCATAAAAATTAGTTAGAACTGGTGAAGAAGACCCGGCGCAGAGTGGGATTGTTGGAGAATGCTGGTCGGCGGCCTATACTCCACAGTTATAAGTAAGTGAGTAAGTAGTTTAAAGTTGAAATCTATTCATGCTATCAGTGTTTTCGTTTTTACAAATTAAAAAAAATTTGTAATTTTCTTTCTAATATTTTAACAATCTATGACCTTATTTTAACCCAAAAATAAGGAACAAGGTGAAAAGGATGAATGGTTTATTCCACCTGCTGAGTAGTTGTTGTTCTATTGCCAACGTATATATATATATATATAAACCAGTTAGAATACGATACAATTTAAGTTCAGATCATAGAATATGATGATCCGTTGAACCACTGGGATATTAGCACTGTTTTTTGTGTGAACTTGTTTTTTCTTGTGTAATCTTGATACTACTACTACTACTACTCACACTACTACTACTACTACTACCACTACTACTACTATATAGTTTTTAGTTCATCAAAATACACCAGGTTGTTAATGTGACCAGAAATGAAACGGATTGAATTTTGAATTCTGTATGTGTGTGCCTATTTTTTCAAATTGGTGTATTCATTTTGTTTAAAACATGCTAATCATCAGACCTAATTGATCAATTGGTCATTTATTATAAATAATATCAGATTTTTTAATTTATCAAAAATGAGAAAATATTTTCTTAAAACTATCGTTATTTTGTAGATTTTGTTAACAAAAAAATGTAAACATTTTTTTTATCCGATACGTGATTTGACCTTAGTTTTATGCTAGTTGACCTCAGTCAAGAAGGTGTTAATGTTCACTGTGGGATTTCAAACAGTGTCACTGTAGTTTTTACAACCTTTTTCCAACACTAACATTGATTTATTCCGATCACAACTAACCATGGTATTTTTAAAATTTATTGATCATTGAGTAGTGACTAGTGTTTTGTTTGTCTGTTCCTGGGGAGCGTTAGATTGGATACCACAGGAGGCATCAGTTGCTCGCATGGTTGCATGTACATCAGACAGCTTCGTTCTTCGAGTTAGTCGGTGGTTGAGCATTCATAACACATGTTCCGACCACCTCGACAAATGGATTAGGTCGCGCGAAATCCCTAGATTAGTCAGAATTAGACATTAACACAGTTGGATGCCCGCCCAGTGGTCCAATGGTTAGACTTTCATGCACAATACCGAAGGTCCCGGGTTCGAATCCTGCGAGGCGCAGGAGTCGTGGATGCGCCTTGCTGATGAGTCCCATACCAGGACGAAACGGCCGTCCAGTGCTTCCTGGTTTGTGGTGGTGGTCTAACAATGATTGATTGATGATTTCAAATGTGTAAAAATACTAATCTCGACAACTCTAATTCGAAATGAAGATTTACTTCATCATACGTTGAATCCCCATCCCAATTCCTAATCCCAATGTTACTTACTCAGTGGACACATTCGTGTTTTTGTACCCGTGCCGAGATTTCGTCAGACATCAAGGCTATCAGGATTGATGAGATTGGAGATAAATAAAGTCGTCAACACGCCCAACTACTTCCTACTCTATCACTAATTCAGGAGCTGAAGCAAGTCACTTGGTAAGGATTGGAGAAACGTGATATTGGTCGTTACCCATTGATCATTGAATTGGATATGTCAATGTTTGTTAATATTATTTGAAATGCATTGCTGTTTTAATTTCATTCTCATTAGGAA